TTCCTTCGCGCAAAGATTCTCGTTTGCCTGTTTTACGCGCTCGACTGACCCAAGTCATGTACCCATGACCTTGCGTTTAGCTGAATAACCTTTATACACACGTACGACGCCGAATTGAATCCAGTTCCACGAAGCAAGACGGATCTCGTCTCTCCACGTCTCTTCTGTACGCTTGCTTTCATCGTTCGGTCAAATGCCCGCATTATATTCACGGATATTAAATTCACGTTAGAGAGGAGAAACCCGGGGAAACATCCGGGGAGGTCTCTCCTCCCGTTAGTTTTAATTCGTCCCACATGAAACGAATTTCACTGAAGGATTTCTACGAAGAATGGCCGGCTAATCGCTGTGACACCGTTCGTAACGAATGTGAAATTTAGTTCTGCATTCGGTTACTTAATCCTCCAGCCACCGTCTATTTTTGTATTTTTGTTTGTTAATAATTACACGGTGTAGTTTAGGGATTGTATCCTAAGGAGGCTTGTAAGTGGAATATTTATCCAAGTCTGCTGATGTTCGTGGGACGTGAAATAGGAAATTCACCAAATAAATCGCGAATAGTGTTTTATAGTGTTATTATATTTTAACTAAGTTTTAAGATAAATTATATTTTTCTAAAAACTACGAATTTTTTATACATCTTGGCAAAATCTAAAGATCCCTTTGTTAACCCATTCTATCAGAAATGTAAAGACTTTTCATGAATTCTGTCGATCCCAAATCGGACGATTTTTTTTATAAATCCTATACAAATTTAAATTAAAGAAATGAGATATTATAATGAATGTGACGTGAGATATGAATCTTCTTCCCTTGATATCATAACAGTTTTTGGAACAAACTTAAACTACAAAAAATTTAGCAAAATTGTATAAAATAATTATAATTAATTACCAGCAATGTTTCTTCTCCAATCACTGTCTTCGATCCATATTGTTCTATCGATCAGCTATATCGACGAGAAATTTAAAACTGTAATAATGAATTTTTTTAGCAATAGCGCCACTAGAAAACATTTGGTCCAGCTACCAAAATATAATTATCCATTCAACGTAAATCCAAATAATACAAGCCAAAAGTGAAAATTTTTTTACATTTTTTAATACTATCATAATACTAATCATATGAGGAATAAAAAATTTTCAATGTAAACCGCGTGGAGTGCTTTCTATCTTTGAAAAAATATTTCTAAATAGAAAATTCCCGAAATTGTAGCAGGAAATGTTAGTTACATAGTACGAATAAATATTGATCTATGCACTCATGTTCAAATATTCGCAACACTAATTATGAAAAGCCAATGCAGCCAATCATCTCTGCACAGCTTCTCAAATACATGTAATTCTGGAACATATTAATTGTGGATACTTCCACAATCTCAATGGAAAGAATTTGGGCATTCGATAAACGCAACACTACCTGGAAGATTAATTGAAACAATCGCGATGTGACAGTATCGCAACACTAATTTTTAAAATAGAATTCAATAAAGACTACTACTATGTTTGTCTATAAAAGAACTACTTGAATTTCTCATGACAACAAATAGCAATACTACTTTAAAAATTCACAATAAAAATTGCTAAAGATAATCGCGATGTCGTAATTCGCAACTCTTGCAACTAAAGCAAACACGATTATCATTTCTTAAATTTCTTTAATTTAAAGCATAATTAATTTCTCGCGACACTAATAAATAGGAAATTATTTCGTAATTCTAATTCAACCCGTAATCGATCTCTCGCAACACTAACAAGAAAAATCGCGATTTGCCCAAAACGATGATGGAGAAGAAAAGAAAATACAACTACAAATACTAAAAGAGCATAGTGACAAGAATGACTTCCCATGCTTTAGATGGATTTCCCATCCAAAGGATGATAAGCCATTTGTTGCAGCCCTCTTCTATGGCAGTTTGCCGGGCTTCTTCTTTTCTTCGGGCGCGATGCCCGCTGAAACTTAAATCTAGGCTCGAGTCTTTCTAATCGTAAAACCAAAAAATAACTTATAAAAATGGAATAAAAAGATAAACCGCGGAAGCTGATCTCAATACACATGGACGACCATCGATCACAGTGATCGTTGTCCGTTCGCACGTGCGTGCTCGAGCAATACCTGCGTAAACGTTCGTTTCGGGACCTATTCGCGACCACGACCGCGATGCTAAATTCGAAAAATCGAAGAGTAAAACTAGAAACAAGTGGCATG